CAAGGGATCAAAGAAAAGAGAGAGTCAGAAAGAGTGCTTGAATACGTGAGATTGGATACATAACAGACATGGATGCAGTACATGCTCCTAAAACATTGTTCCACTGTGACCCATTTTGAGACTTGAAATCCTCATGGTCCTTCAATGAGGATTAAGAGGGTGAGAGAGGGCTTTTGAGAACATAGCTGTTCTAACTGGGTCAGAACTCCATACTGTTCAGGATAACATTGCAGCTCTCAAGCCCACTTGGTGTCCCAGCCCCCACTTTTTGAGAAGCCCAAGATGACTATTGTTGAGGAAGGTCATTTGCTAGATCGTAGTTTCAAAAGATTGTGCATTCCCCTTCCCTTACCCTGACTATTTAAGGAGTGCCAGAGTTTTTGAATCTTCTGACTCAGGTAGCATGAGTCAATTGCCCACTGATTCTAGAAACTGATGAGATTTGTACCAAAGAATTGAACTCCGTTTAAATGGGTAGTTGGTATTCTACTTCCATTTGGGGTGATTATGAAAACAAAATATTTCCTTCTTCTCGAATCCTTGCTATTAGTAATAAGACTCCTTTTATAACCATGGGAGAGCACTCAACCAAAAGTAGAATATGCAGATACTGGAAATCTGAAACGAACAGTATGCTGGAGAAACTCAGCAGGTCTGGAAACATCTGAGGAGAGAAAAGGAGGGTTAATGTTCAGAATTCAGAGTCTTTTTCAGAATCCAGCTGGACCTGTTTCGTATATGTCTGAGTTAAACTTCATTTGCCATTTCTCCGCCCAACTTTCCAACTTTCTATATCTTGCTATATCCTTTGATAAGTTTCTTCACTATTCACAACTTCAGTAATATTTGGTTGTCTGCGAACTTACTAATTGGACTGCCCACATTTTCATCCACATCATTTATATATTTTACAATCAACAGAGGCCCCTGCACTGATCCTTGTGGAACACCACTGGTCACAGACCTCCAGTCAGGAAAAAAACACAGCTCGTAACTACTCGCTAACTTCTATGAACAACCAATTCTGTATCCAACTTACCTACTCACCATGGATGCCATATGACTTAATCTTCTAGACCAGGGACTTTGTCAAATGCTTTAGTAAAGTCCATGTAAACACATAATCTAGATTGTAAATAGTTGGGGCCAAACACTGAATACTGTGGCACCTAACTAGTTACATCATGCCAACCTGACCCATTTATCCTGTTTTCTTTGGCCAGCCAATCCCCTATCCAAGCTAATAATTTACTCCCAACCCCATGTATATTAACCTTTTGTGTTACACCTTACCAAATACCCTCTGAAGTCCAGAATTGCGGTAAGCTTAGGGTCTGCAGAATCCTCCATTATCCATTTTGCTTGTTACATCTTCAAAGAACTCTTGCAAATTAATCAAACACAACTTATCCTTCATAAAACTATATTGACTCTGATGGACTGATTTTGACTTTGTAAATCTCCTTTAGTTACTTTCTTAGTAATGGATTCTAACATTTTCCCAATGATAGATATTAAACTAACTATAGATTCCTACTTTCTACCTCACTCATTTCTTGAATAGGGGGTGACACATTAGCAATTTTCCAATCCACTGGAACCTTTCCCATGTCCAGAGCATTTTGGAATATTGTAACCAGTGGATTCATTGTCAATGACGCCACTTCCTTTAAGACTCGAGAATATTAGGTCATCAAGGGTCTAGGCCCGAAACGTCAGCCTTTCTGCTCCTATGATGCTGCTTAGCCTGCTGTGTTCATCCAGCTCTGCACCTTGTTGTCTCGGATTCTCCATTTTCTGCAGTTCCTACTATCTCTGGGGTAATTGTCTGCCTCAATTCCAATAGTTTGCTCAGTGCTTTTTTCTCTAGTAGTGGTGATTGATTGAATTTCCTCCCTTTCTATAACCCCTGAATGACTTGTTACTATTGGGATGGTACTAGTGTCCTCCACCCTGAAAACTGAGGCAAGATGTTGATTTAGTGACTCTGCCCTTTCTGTGTTCCCCACTATTAATTCCCTAGTCTCATTTTCCAATGGTCCAACATTCACTTTAGCTGCTGTGAGATAGTAAGAACTGCAGATGCTGGAGTCAGAGACAACACAGTGTGGAGCTGGAAGAACACAGCAGGGCTCCCGACCCAAAATGTCAACTTTCCTGTGATCTGATGCTGCCTGACCTGTTGTGTTCCTCCAGCTCCACACTTTAGCTACTGTGTTCCCTTATTATATACTTTATGTGAGCTTTTGCTATCTGTGCTAGTAATTCTTTCATAATTTACCTTTGCTCTTTTTATTACTGTTATCATAAGTCTGTTGACCTTTGGGAAACTATTAATCTTCCAGTTTACCACTGACCTTTAAAATATGGTATATCTTACTTTTTGAATTTATGTTTATTTTTAACTTCCTTGCTGAGGCGTGAGTTTTTTTTTCCCCACTTACAATGTTTCTTCCTTTCTAGAATGTATTTTAGTTGGGAGGAATTGAATACCTCCTCACAGATCTGCCATTGCTCATTAAATTTTAGTCTTCCTGCCCAGTGCACCAAGGCAAAATCTGTCCTTGTGTCTACGTAATTACCTCTGTTTAACTCCAGAACAGAAGTTCCTTCATTCTCCTTCAAGTTTTCCCTTGCCAATTTGATTAATCAAATCTATGTGGATATTAAAATCACCCATGATTATTGATGTGCCTTTCTTACTAGTCCTCAATATTTCTTTGTTTGTGCTGTACCCCACTGCAGAACAATTGTTTCAGGATCTATGAATAAATCCCACCAGGAGCATATTCCTTTGCCATTTCTTATTTCTATCGTATTCTTATTCTATGTCTTGATCTCCAGTACCTCTATCGTTCCTCACTACAGCATTGATCTTATCCTTTACTAACAAAGCTTTACCACCTCCTTTTCCTTCCTTATTAATTTTATTCCAAATGCTTTATGCATTCAGATACAAGCCTTTTAAGTTATTATCAAATTTCCCTACACTTTTATGATTCCTTGGTATCATATGATATTCACAGATTCTGTGCCTTCTTTTTGTTTTCTGGTATTAATCAGCCTCATCATCAACCTGTAGTACTGCCTTCTCTTTTGACTTTGATTTTCCCAACCCCACCACTACTTTGTTTAAAGCCCTATCTACAGCCCTTATTGTGCAAATCATCACGGCTCTGATCTCAATAGGATTCGGGTGGTACCCATCCCATCAGAACAGCTGCCTCCCGCCTGGGTACTGGTGCCAATGTCCCATGAATTCAAACCCATTTCTGCCGCACCAATCTTTGAGCTATGCATTTACATCTTTAATTATGTTGACCCTGTGCCAGTTAGCTGATGGCTCAGGTAGTATACTGAAGATTGTTACCTTTTTTTTGATTTGCTGATTATTGATATAATAATTCTTTATGTGATTAAGAACATATAATGTGTTCTTTTAGAAGTTTTGCAAAATGTGGTATGAGTCACTGAGAGATGTGTGAAAGCATTGTCAAAGCCAAAGCATGCTCTGCACAAAGCTTCCTGATTTTGTTTCTCTCTGAATTTCAAAAGGCCAGTGTTTGACCTTCGAAGCTGACCCGTCATCAGTTTGTCAAAGCGAGAAGAGAAAGCTTTATTCATAAATGGTATTAACATTTGTGCGTATTGTACAGCTAAAAGTGCTTTCTTTCATGAGCTTTTGTACACAATGACTTGATTCCACCAGTTCCAGTTGGTTGAATATTTACTGAGTCACCTGTATGTTAAACTGGATTTACATAATATTATCAAGAATCATAAAGTGCCAATCTTGGGTAACATCACACTCGTCAAGTGCTTCCCCTCCCTTTGCCTCCTAGCACTGCAATCTTTCCAGTTGACAGTGACTCCCCCGGCGCGCGCGCGCGCGCGCGCGCGCACACACACACACACACACACACACACACACACACACACACACACAC